GAAATCATGAGAACCAGAGGAAGCAGAGACAGAGTCAAGTCTAGCTCCACTGTCACCAAAATCCCTACTTAATGTGAAAGACAGGCCCTTTATATCACCTTTTCATAATATTTTCCATTACTTGTCTAATATGTCTGTGAGGGCATATCATCATACTTAGGCTTATGCTGCTCTTGATTGCAATTAAATCCTTCCAAACTTACAGTCAATTTCTGCTATGTCATGTGTCCCTAGTGATAGACTCTATTTCTGACATTTTCTGTTTTATCTCATCGTGTGCCCATCCTTCTAATAACTCTCCAAACCTTTGGCTGCAGATCTAGTATCTGATCCAAGTAAAACTCTTTCTTGCTTGTCACATTTCTTTAATATCTCTACTCAAATAACAAAGATATTGACCCAAAAATTAAGATGGGATTCTATTCCAAGGAACTGGAATTGCCTCATCTGACATGGAAGTGATTGGGAGACAGTACATTTATCTATCACCAAAGGCTCCCTCTGGTTCTGACTACAGGTACTCAAATGGTGATCAAATAGTTCACATTTCTCTCTACCTGCCCCACAGTTGTGATCTGACACTAATCAAAAATATAACTCCCATTAAAAAAAAAATCTTAGGGGGCAAGAGCCTCATGCCTTCTAAATCTCTGACTCTTCTGGTAGGAAATGATTGCATCTTTCAAATTTGCCAGAATCTCTTTTCCCATTTATTTATATAAGAGAGAGTATGAGACCTCTTTAAGATTCCATGGTTCACTTCTCAAAGGCCTACAACATCTAGAACTGAGACAGCTGAAGCCAGGAACCAGGGACTCAGACCAGATATCCCACATAAGCAGCAGGGACCTATCTGCTTGAGACATCACCCGCTCCTTCCGGGGCAATGCATTAGTAGGAAACTGGAACTGAGAGATGACTGGAGACTCAAATCAAAACATTAAGATATGGGCTGTAGGAATATTAACCAGCAATTTTAATTACTCAAACATCCGGCTCTCTTATCCCATTTTAACAAAAGTGGTGTATATATTCATTACAGTTAATTTAAAAAACATCTATGTAAACTTTACCCACAGAAAACTGAAATCATGAGATAAAGTTACGTGCCAGCCACTGAAAATTTAAAATACAGCTATATTATAATAATTCATGACTAACCACAGTGTTCTAAATTCTGCCTAGAGTACATACCGGTGGACTCATCCCTGCCACCATTTTCAATCCTTCACAAGAATCAGTACCTCATTCTTCGGATTCGTTCTATATCCACAACTCCTCCCCAGGTCTCCCTCGCCCCTATGTCCTCTTCCAAACTCTCCTCCTGCCCCAGTTCCAATTTCTCCATTTTGGAGATCATATTTCTTCCCTTCAACCACAGAGTTACCTCATCAATATTAGAAACCATTAGCATTGTCTTGCCAACTCACATGTCCAATGAACTCTGCCAGAACTTTCATCTTCCAATTGGTAAAAGGATCTTTATTTGATATAATCAGGCCCAGCCATCACTAACAGACCCAGTCTAGCACTAACCCCAATCCACATGAGAGTATTTTTATTTCTTTCTCTGTGTGTTTCTGTGATCTTTTATATTTCTCTTGTAGCACTTAACAAAAAGCTGTCTTAACATCACAACCATGCACCTCCATTAGGTGACAAGCAGAGAAGAAAGGATGAGTGAGAAAGCAGCTGAGGTTTAAAGTATTTTCTCATTGGTTCAGTACAACATCGCACACTCTTGGATTCTTTATCTGCAAAATGAAATTGATACCCCTTTATGGAGATATTATGAAGACAACATGAAAAGTAATTTGGAGTCAGAAGCAGCTTTAAAAGTGACACCACCTTTGGGAGGTTGGGTGTGGCTTCTCTCCTTGTCTCCTTGCTTCTCCCAGATACAGGAAGGAAAAAAAAAAAAAGAGAATGTGGAAATGGCGATCTAACCCACCTTCCTATAGCCCTTAACCCTAATTACCTTAATCAACTATATAAAAATCATCAAAAATAAAAAATGCTTAAAAAGTGACACCATCACGAGCATTGTTTGCTCTGAATTTTGAGAGCAGAACCAGCCTCCACAGCCCTCAGCAGGACTTTGCTATAACAGCAAAGTGATGAACATGTGCTTGGCGTTTCCTAAGGGGCAGTATAAGTCACTGAAAGGACAACTGGAATATCCTTATGTTAGAATAAGAGAACAATTACAAATAACTGTTCAAATCGTTTTTTTTCTTTTTTTCTTCTTAAAGTACACCTTTATGAATCCTCTGAGGAGATACCAAAAATGAGTAATATTCCTTTCCAACCACTTTGTCTATTGACAGCCACTGACATTTCAGCAGCTTTAGTAGAACACATGAGTAAGGGAGAGCCTTACTTGATGCTTTAAAGGATCAAATGGCATTTTCTATGACAAGATGTTAAAACTGAATGTCCCTTTGGGTACCCCTTTTCTTTTCCTTCTCAAAAAAATTTAATTAAGAAGCAGAGAAACAGTTACTGATAAGAAAGCACTTTCATCTAGTGGTCCGCTCCTCAAATGCTCTAAGTGGCTGGCAATGTGCTGGGACCAATGCTAGGAGCCAGAACTCATTCCAGGTGTCCCACACAGGTTATAGGAGTCCAACTGCTGAGACATTGTTTGCTGCCTTTCATAGTCAGCAAACAATGGCAAACATGGGCCGCTCTGAGCTTGGAGTTTAACTGTGACAGTACTCTGCCAGTACAGAGTCCGTATTTCACATCACTCTCCCTCGCATGTCTCCTCCAACCCTTACATGCCTGCACATACCTGAAACATGTCAGAAAGAGAGAGAGAAAAAAAGATTTGGTCCCAGAAAGGGCTTCCCTATCCACTGGCTCCAAGTCTGCCCACAAAGTTTAAGTCTTCAATCATTCAACTATAAACTGAAAGTAATGTCTAGACCTCACAGACTGTGAAAAGGATTTAAAAAGAAGCATATGAAAAGTGGTTGGTGAACTATAAAATGTTGTCATCATTATTTATCTCCCACTCTTCTGTAAGTTGGGAAAATCTCATGCTTGGCTTAGGCATTATTGACTTTCCTCACATTATTGCACGGCATATAACACAGCTTTAAAAGCTAAATGATGGGCCCAGCACGATAGCGTAGTGGTTAAAGTCCTTGCCTTGCACACACCGGGATCCCATATGGGTGCCTGTTCTAATCCCTGTGGCCCCACTTCCTATCCAGCTCCCTGCCTGTGGCCTGGGAAAGCAGTTGAGAATGGTCCAAAGCCTTGGGACCCTGCACCTGTGTGGGAGATCCAGAGGAAGCTCCTGGCTCCTGGTTTCGGATTGGCTCAGCTTCAGCCGTTTGCAGCCACTTGAGGAGTGAACCATTGGATGGAAGATCTTCCTCTCTGTCTCTCTTCCTCTCCGTATATCTGCCTTTCCAATAAAAACAAATAAATTAAAAAAAAAAAAAAACTAAATGACGAGTCCGGCACAATATCCTCAGCTTGCACTCACTGGGATCCCATATGGACACTGGTTTGTGTCCCAGCTGCTCCACTCCCCTTCCAGCTCCTTGCCTATGGCTTGGGAAAGCAGTAGAGAATGAGACCTTGAACCCATGTGAAAGACCAGGACGAAGCTCCAGGTTCCTGGCTTCAGATCAGCTTAGCTCCAGTTGTTGTGGCCACTTGGGGAGTAAAGCAGGGGATGGAAGATCTTTTGCCCTGTATCTCCTTCTCTCTGTAAATCTTCCTTTTGAATAAAAAGAAATAAATAAGTATTTTTGAAAACAAAAACTAAATGACAATAATTTGATATCTGTCCCTGGCTCATTTAAGAACAGGTAGCAAAGATGGCCAAATATCAAAGAAAAATAAAATGGATTGTTGGACACTAATAGCTCTTTACAGGGTCATTTCTGTCGGTGGTGAAGGTATGAAATTGGTGCAAATTGTAATTACTGGCCTTGCTGCCTTCGAGTGCTGGTTTATAAGTTCACCCACAAGGCTCTTGAAGTCTCAAAAGAAAGCTGACATTCAGGTATCAGGTGCTCCCATGAGACTGAAACCTTGACTTGTTTCCAGAGCCTCATCAGTGTCCCAAGAAGGGAGCTGGTCCTTGAAAAAACAAAACCTTACAATTCTCAGGTTCTGGAACAATCAGCCATGGCACATATGTTATTATCTATCTATCAACATATGGATGTAGACGTATCTCTCAAAAGTCTATGAGAGACTTGACAAAACATCAAATCTTTTCAGATATGGAGAGTCAGATGCAGAAAACTGCACTTAAATAATAATTCTACAGATGCTGAAGTGTTAGTAAAAATCTATGTCATGGATGCTATCTTGTTATGCTAGGAATGCAAAAATAGATACTTCCATTCTGGTCACTTAACAACACATCATTCTCCTTTGGGGAATCACACACAGCTTTCTGCTTTTAACCCTAAGGACGGTCATGCCTAACTAGAACTGGAAATCAAGAGGAAGAAGAGATTTAAATTACAATCAGCTGTCATGATATCACCAAAATGAGAGTAAGTGATGAATCAAGACAATCCATTGAACAAAATCACCTGACCAATCCTTTCCAAAACCATATGGAGCAATTACATCTTTTCTTGAAGTTTAATGAGAGCTGCATACATTAATGAATGTCAAATTACTACCAAGACCCTCAGCGCACATTTTATTGCAAAAATCAAGCAAACAACAGCATCTCTTAAGAAAACAGGTCTTCAATAGACATCCCAAGCCTGATGTTTAAGCCAGTCTCCTTGGCAACCAAGGAACACTGTACGTCCAGGGCCGGGGATAAGGTGAAGAAGCGGGAGCAACTCGGGTTTGTAGCAGAAGTAACCAGGGAAGTAAGTGCTTCTGCTCGAGGACGCTGCCAGAGGCTGCCACCCCCTGGAATTTCAACTCTGGGTCTCGCTCCCCACCCCTGGCGTACCAGATCCCCTTGGGTCTGCAGGCACCAACCCCGGACGAGTTACGATGAGAGACTGGCTTACCCGCTGGGGTGAGTGACCTGCTGGGTTATCATGCACCCGAAGCGTCAGCACCAGCACCGAGCTCTCCCTGATGCACAATGGCTCTGCTTCGCCCCACACCACGCTGAGGCTAAGAGAAACTGCAGTAGCTTCGCTCTGCCGGTTCGGGGATGCAGTAGTGGAGAGAGAAGGAGAGCGCGCGCCCTTGCGCGCCCCCGGACTCCCGGGCGGACACAGGGATACCTAGTAAATAGAAAGCGTCCGCCCACGCTGTAGGTGGCACGGAGGGCTGGCGAGGCACCGGGCGGCCGCTGCTACCTGGAGACACAGCTACCCTGGTCTCGGGTCAAGTTCGGACGACCCGGCGGCTCCGCCCCTCGCGCCTCGAGCGCGCCTTTCCCGCTCCCCGGGGAGTCGGCGCGCGCGCTCCCCTGCCCGCACCACCCCGCCCCCGCCGCCGGCGGCCCGCGCGCGCGCCCGCTCTCCCCGGAAGTCCCGCTCCTCCGAGCAGTCCCCCTTTCCTCCCCAGCACCTGCGCTGCCGGCCGCTGGGTCACGTGCGCAGCCTGCAGCCACAGCTGCACTCGCTGCTGCGACGCTTGAGACCCTGGGGTCTCACACCCAGCCTCCTTTCCAGGGACTGCAGAGCAGCCTTAGCAAATAGACTCAGTGTCCACACTTGGATCTCCCAAGGTTCAATGGCTGTCTGCTTCCTGCACCCTGATTCTTCTAACTTACAAAGTTGAAGGTGCCGCTGCTATTCCTACTGACCCGTCTTAAGATTCTATAGTTTATGGTACTGTTGAAGACGGATCCACGGTAATTTTAAGAAGCGACAGGGGAACCAACATGCTAATCCTGAACCTGAGAAATAAACAATATTTGGTTACTGTTCATTTCACATAAACAGACAACAGGCCCAGAGCAACACTGTTAGATTCTAGGATTCCTGCAAGCTCTTGCACAGTTGGCGGTTCACGCCTGTTGTGAAATACTTAAGCAAATCAATATTCGTAACAGGCATTTCATCTTTGAATTGAAAAACATTGGTCCCATGTGGAGTTATACCAACCGAATCAGTAGAATATAACTTGCTGTTGGAATCAGCTGTATTGTGTAGAAGCCAAGGGTTTAAACTACTGCAAAGACAGATTTTTCACAGAACATTAAGCCCTGTCTCTCACAGGTTTGTATCCTTTTACCTACAATAGATGAGCAGTACCCTCTTCTATTTTGAGGTATCCTTAACATTCCCATTAGTCTCAAGTCAGTGGTTCAGCAATCATTTTCCTCTTTTAGACCTACAATCTGCTTGCTGCTCTTGGGGCATTTCTGGCTGGCTTCCAGTGTTTCCTCCTCATGATCTCCATCTTTGCACTTCAGGATGCTGAGATCCAAGGCATCCCCAAGACAGCTCCAAAGAACAGAGGGACCAACAACAGACTACCAGTGTTAGCTGCAGTGTCCATTTCTGAACATTTCCCTGAACTGTGCGTTTTCATTGGGTGTGGCTTGATAACAGAAAATCAAATATGAAAGTACAATTTGAATCTAAAATACGAAAAAATGACTGGAGCCAATCAATGAGATGCTTCTTTCAAGTTCATGTGATATTTTTCATCGAAGTAGCTGCACTTAGAATCTTAAATTTATGTTGATTTGATGACCTATTTATTTAGAGTAAACAAGAAGCTGTCTGTTAAATATGATTAAATAGAACAAGGAATGTGGCTGTTTGGACCTCTTCCTGCTACCAGCTCACAGTCTGAATATGGAAGGGACTCCTTCTTTTTTTTTTTTTTTTAAAGATTTGTTTATGTATTGGAAAGTCAGATATACAAAGAGGAGAGACAGGAAGATCTTCCGTCTGATGATTCACTCCCCAAGTGAGCTATGCCGATCCGAAGCCAGGAGCCAGGAACTTCTTCGCGTATCCTGCACGGGTGCAGGGTCCCAAGGCTTTGGACCGGCCTCGACTGCTTTCCCAGGCCACAAGCAGGGAGCTGGGATGGGAAGTGGAGCTGCCGGGATTAGAACTGGCGCCCACAGGGGATCCGGAGCGTTCAAGGTGAGGATTTTAGCCACTAGGGCACGCCGCCGGGCCCAGGGATTCCTTCTCATCAGCCTTGCTGGATGCTTCGAATTCATCATTGCATCCCTTGCCCCTACCACATTGTTTGTCACTTAGTAGAGGCTCCATAAATCTTGCTTATTGACACATGGATGTCATTAACTAAATAAGAAACTGTGTGTTAAATGCTTAATTCAGGGAAGACAATTTTTCCTGAGAGTATTGAATTTTCTTAAAGTAGTGGGTCCTTACTTTATTTTTTTATTTGAAAGGCAGGAGAAAAAGACAACCAGAAATTTTTTATTCACCAGTTCACTCTCTGAATGGGCACAGCAGCCAGGATGGATCTAGGCCAAAGCCAGAGGCACCAAGCTCAACCCGGGTCTCCCGCAGGGGTGGAGGACCCCAAGGACTTACGCCGTATCACTGTCTCCCAGGAGGTACCTCATCAGGGAGATGGATGGCAAGTGGACTCAGGACCAAAACTCACTCATCCTAAAATTGGATGCAGACATCCTAAGAGGTGCCCACCTTCTGTACCAACTAGTGATATCCTTTTTAAAAAAGCCTTTTATTTATCTAAAAATAACTAATATTTTGTTAGGCAGTCACCAAAACAATACAAATGTATTTCCAGTTCATTCTATTACTAGAAAAGGAACAGATTGATTAGACATTATCCCTTCACAGGTAGCATTATATGTTGTATTCCACCCTCTTAAAAAGATAGCTTAAAGCAATGCTGCCTATAAACTGCCTTTTTTCACTCTTACAATGTGCTAGGCAGTATAATCCATGTAAGACTTTGAAAAAAATTTTTTATTGGAAAGGCAGATATATATTGAGAAAAATCTTGCATCCGTTGATTCACTCCCCAGTGGCTGCAACTGCCGGAGCTGAGTCTATCCAAAGCCAGGAGCCTAGAGCCACTTCTGGGTTTCCCACGCAGGTGCAGAGTCCTGAGGCTTTGGGCCATCCTCGACTGCTTTCCTAGGCCACAGCAGCAAGCTGGATGGATTAGAATCGGCGCCCATATAGGACCCTGGTGCATGCAAGGTGAGGACTTTAGCCACTAGGCTACCGCACCAGGTCCCATGTAGGACGTTCAGTTTTCAAAACTAGACAGTGTCCCTTTTGCAATCCAATGATGTTATGAGAGATGAGCTGAGAAGGAAAAGCAAAACTATGTTCTCTGGAGGAAGGCAACAGAAGCCTTACCGTGTCCAATTCAAGTAACTGGGGATTTAATAGAAGGATACCAGTAGCTCTGAGACCTGATGGGAGCCCTAGCGGACTAGGGACCTGCCTGGAGTAAGAGAGCAAATCCTGAGAGCACAGAAGCAGTTCTAGCAGAATGACCAGGCCACCATGCTGCGATTAGGAATTTATCATGACTGGAAGGGTGAACCCCAACCTGTGAATCCTTATACTGCTGCCCTCAATCTGTTGCTCTTTATACTGGAAACTCAGGTTTCAGCTTCCAGTGTCCTCACCTGAAACATCGGCTTTTTCTTCAGATGGAATTGGGTAGCATTCTTCATAGCAGCTCCAGCAGATTTAAGAAAACAAAGTAGAGACGGGGTGGCTGGAAAAATAGCACTATTAATTGAAGGTAATAAGGGACCAGGCCAGATGAGCTGGAGAAATAAGGAAAAAGGATCCCTGTCTGCACTGGAGTATTGAGACTCTAAAGTTTTACACTGAAGAATTCTCCTTCAATTATGAAGTATTTTAGAGTCTGGTCGATTATAGAATTTCTCCCCCTACATGCAAAAACGTATCTTTGTACACTTTGGGAAGCATTTGGGAGTACCATAAGCTTTTTCAATATTTTTCCCCCATCTATCATCAGCTTGTCCAGGAACCAAGATATAAGGGTGTAGTGTACAGCTGATGCTATCATAAGCTTTTACTCAATCTATATTTTAACAGCCGTGTGAGAATCAGAGCTGAAATTGTCTCCAGATAGATTAGATATTAATCTAAGATGACATCATGAAAGAAGCCAAAGTCACAGTTTCTTATTCAACTCCGTAGTGAATAGCTGTCACAGCGGCCTCCTCCCATAGCAAGCGAAGAGGCAAGTGTCATTTTAAGTGCCAGTGTCATGGTTTTCAGTCACAGTTCAGTAGTGACATTCAGGAGTCATTGAGCCATATTTCTAATTACTGTACTTCCAGAGGGAAGAGATCAATATTAATTATGCCAAAATTAAAATTGATTTCAGCTGCTATTTTCTGGTTTTTAAAGTGGAAAGCAACTCTAACACTTCAGTTTATTCAATTACCTATGGGTACATTGTTAGCCAAGTTGTCGTATTCATCAGGAGCCAGTATTACTCAAAACCACTTGTGCCAAACAAAAGTTGTTCTCTTGAAAACACTTGATGTTAGGGCTGGTGTGCTGGCATAGCCAACTAATCCTTAACCTGCAGTGCTGGCATCCAATATGGGGGCTGATTTGAGCGCTAACTGCTGTGCTTCTGATTCAGCTCCCTGCTTATAGAGCAGGAAAGCAGAGGAGGATGGTTTGAGACCTTGGACCCTTTTTTCCCTGTTAGAGACCTGAAAGAAGCTCCTGGATCCTGGCTTCGGATTGACTCAGCTATCAGTAGTGAACCAGCAGATAGAAGAACTCTCTCTCTTTCCTTCTCTCCATAAATCTGCATTTCACATAAACTAAGTAAATAAATCTTCAAGAAATGCTTGATGTTTGCAATTTTTTCCTGCTGTATTCTCTGGTATGTTGTTATTTCCAGTCTAATTCAATGTAATGAACTAGACACATGATAGGAGCTTAGTAAAGATTTATCATATTAAATAGGAAATAGTATCTGCCCATAAGGAAAAATATTCTAATTACCCTACTAAGCCAGAACAAATAAATATGGAGGAGTTTCATAGTAATCATTAGGACAAGGCAAACTTATAGATAAATTACCATATGATATTTTCAGACTGGCAAAGGTGTAAAAATTTTGCAACGTATGGTGTTAGAATATGTATGAATAGGGACTTATGACAACAAAAGTAGAAAAAAGTCCAAGCATTTTGTGGGCTTTTTTTTTTTCAAGATTTATTAGAAAGTGAGCTATTCGG